AAAAAAAACTTTGTGAGTTGTGACTTTGTTTTCAGAACAGCCCAGTTTTCCCATGGTGTCCTATTCCACACAGAAAGCTTGATTACAAAGGGAAATCAAGGAGTTAACACCTGCACAATTGTTTTGTGCCTCCTTTTCCCACCTGCCCTTGTGACTAGATGGATTCAATTTCCCTGAGGCATAAGTTGGGAGAAGTGTTGTCAGCCTAAGGAAGTTATTGCTGTGGTTTATAACAGTGGACTGGAAAAAAAAAATGTGTGTATTTGAATATAAAGGAATAGTTAAATTAGATTTTTGTACCTATATCTACTAAGATGTGAACTAAATTCATGTTTTGATTACTCTAGCTTTTTCTATGATTCATTCATTTATTTTGATTTAGAAAATGTGTGTGTGAGCATGTGTTGCCAGTGGAGGCCAGAAGAGGGCAGCAGATCGCTGGAGTTAATAAGCCATTTTTATTTTTTTTTATTTTTTATTTTTTTTTTTTTTTTGGTTTTTTGAGACAGGGTTTCTCTGTGTAGCTTTGCGCCTTTCCTGGAACTCGCTTTGGAGACCAGGCTGGCCTTGAACTCAGAGATCCGCCTGGCTCTGCCTCCCAAGTACTGGGATTAAAGGCGTGCGCCACCAACCCCTGGCGATTTGTTTATCTTTGAGGCAGATTCTCATGTATCCCAGGCTGGCCTTGAACTTGCTATTTAATGGAGGATGACCTTGAACTCCTGATCCTCAGGCCTTTAACTTGGGTGCAGGATTATAGCTGTGTTCCACCAGCCATTTCCTTTGATTTTTAAAATGGAGTGTCTAGTTGGTGCCCACAGCTGTGTGTAGTCCCAGCTGCCTGGAGGCTGAGGCAGATGTCTGAACTCAGGAGTCTGAGACACTGTCTCTAAACAAAACAAAAGAAAATGGTGTTTACTTCCCGTGAGGGCAGTGGGGAGCACTCTCCAGTGCTGGCCTTGAATCGCGTCAATCCCACAGTAAGCATTGTATTTGTGAAAATGAGACGAGTGAATGAATTGCGTGTGGTAAAGTTGCCAGGACAAGCTCATCCCCTATTTCATTATACACTTGAGGGTGAAGTGGAGGCCCCCGTCTTTATTACTGTAGGCTAAGCTACATTGGTCCTTTGGATGTGAAATTTTGAAAATTTTAACTATAGACAGAAAATTTAACATTGTTTCTTCTTAAGTGAGCATTTTTAAAGTAAACTTTGAGGTTCCATTTCATTTTCAGTTTATTGATTTATTTATTGTGGGTTTTGTTTTTGTTTTTGTTTTTCCTTTGGTTTTTTGAGATATGGTTTCTCTGTGTAGCTTTTAGAGCCTGTCCTTGAACTCACTATAGACCAGGCTGGCCGGAACTCACAGAGATCCACCTGCCTGTGCCACCCCGAGTGCTGGGATTAAAGGCGTGCACCACCACTGCCCGGCCGTTTGTTGATGTTGTTTTTTGACAGTAACTCACACCCTGGGTCACCCTAGAACTTGTTATGTAGCTGAAGATAACTTAGAATTTTTTTAGGTTTTTATTTCATGTGTAGAAGTGTTTTGATTGCATTCATGTACACCAGAAGTGTACAGTGCCTGGGGAGACCAAAGCACGTTCGATCCCCTGGAACTGGAGTTACAGATTGTAGTGAGCTGTCATGTGGGTGCTGGGAATGAAGCCTGGGTCCTCTGGAGGAGCGGCCAATCCTAACTGCTGAGACATCTCTCCAGCCCCATCGTTGAATTTCTCACCCTCTTGCCTCTACTTCCCAAGTGCTGAGATTAAGGTGTGGGCCACCACACCTTGTTGATTTTGTGTTTGGGGTCCAACCCAGCCGTTGTGCATGCGGACAAGCTCTCTGCTAACTAAGCTGCCTCCCAGCTGTCAGGTTGAAAAACTTTGATACTTCTCACCTTGTCTTCTAGGAGCAAATGAGCCGCTTGTCCTATAATGAGAAGTCGGACATCTGGTCGCTGGGTTGCCTGCTCTATGAACTGTGTGCATTAATGTGAGTAGGGAGACAACATCTGAGCCCAGGCTGACTCTGTTGGTCACCTGTCACTGGGCCCTGTTAAAGCTGACTTAGAAGACAAGTTAAAAACAACAATACCACACCCTGACTTCTACAAATTAAGAATGGAACTCATGGGGCTGGGTCCTGCTTTGTTCAAGGATCCGTGTTTCCCAGTGAAACCGACATGGCGCTCAGGGCAGAGGTCATAGGTCAGGGGGACAGAGCAGGAATGCCGCAGGAGTCTGGAGAGCAGGGTCTGCTCTTGACACCCTCCTCCTTCCCATCTAAGCTCTTCCCAGAACATGGTTCTCCAAGGATGGAGAAGAGAGTCTTGCTCCCCGCTGACACAGTTTGGCCATGCTTCTGGATATAGTAGGTAGAAGGCAGGGTGCCCCAGAATATCCAGAACATACGGGACGGACCCCCAGAATGTAGGCAGTACCAAGAAACTGCTAAGCACAGCCACAGAAGAGCCCCAGATGGGGAAATAGAATGCCAGGCAGAGCCCAGCGTTTTATTCCTGTTAGTTGCATTCATTTAACATTTTTTAAACTTCCTTTTCTTCCCTTGCCTCCTCGTCTCTCCCTTCTCTTTTCTCTTAATTATTTATTATTTTTAAATCCCAGGCCTCCATTTACAGCCTTCAACCAGAAAGAGTTAGCTGGGAAAATCAGAGAAGGCAGATTCAGGCGAATCCCCTACCGCTACTCTGACGGGTTAAATGACATCATCACTCGGATGCTCAATTTGAAGGTAATGGTGGCCAGGCGATGTGTGCACCATCTGTTAATCCATTGGGTAAACTTTGGAGTGCACGTTCTGCTGTAGATGGATGAGAACTGAAGAAGCATCCTCCCTGACTAAATATTGTGTTAGCCAAGGTGAAAGCTCACAGGCGTGGAAACACACACCTTGAACAACCTTCGCGCCTCACTTCCTGTTTTCCTTGTCACCTTTCGCCCCACTAACTGACAGCTAGTCCATGGGAAGATTGAGAGAAGGGGAAGGGACCAGGTCTGGGGCCTTATTACTCTCCCTGTCCCTTGGGATTAGAGACCAGAACCAGGGAGAAGGGGACAGCAGAAGGAAGTGACCTGACAAGGTTTTCTGGCCCATGGGATGAGAGGCAGATGTTCTAGTGTGTGTGTGTGTGTGTGTGTGTGAGTGTGATAGGCTTGAAGGCTGGTGAGGATGTCCTTAACAGTATTTAGAGAAACAAAGGTCTCACTCCCCCCAGCAGACCCCAGTGGTGCCCAGTGTGTGGCGTCCTGCAGGGCCTGAGAATCCTTAGAAGGGTGGGGTGAGAACAGGTGAGTTAAAAACCTGCATCAGCTTGCAGACCCAGAACCTAGTGACCAGTAACCTTGTTTCTCCAGATGTTTCTAGATAGAGGAAGTGTCTCTTCTTGTTTATCCTCCAAATGTAACTGCTAATCTTAAGATGACTGTTGTGTGGCCCGCCTGCCACCCTGTTTGTCCAGGATTACCACCGACCTTCAGTGGAGGAAATCCTGGAGAGCCCTTTGATAGCAGACTTGGTCGCGGAAGAGCAAAGGAGACATCTGGAGAGGAGGGGCCCGCGCTTGAGCGAGCCTCCAAAGCCGCAGGCCTCCAGCCCTGTGCTGAGTGAGCTCAAGCTGAAGGAGATGCAGCTGCAGGACCGAGAGCGTGCACTCAGAGCTCGAGAGGACAGTCTGGAGCGTGAGTCATGCCCAGGGCCAAGGGAGCCAGTGGCCTGTGCCATGGGGGAGGTGTGGCTGGGGTTTGAACAGAGGAGCTTGTATGTACAGGCCCTCTTAGAACCTTTTGTTTCTTTCTAGTGGTGGGGAACTGGGATTGAATCCAGGACTTGGTGAATACCAGTGAGCTACATCTCAGCCCTTTTCTTTTGAGTATGGTTCTCAACCTGGGGGTCACGGCACTTTCACAGGCATCGCCTAAGATTATGGGAAAGCACTGCTGGTCTTAGGAATCTCCTCCATCTGTCTCCAGGTGGATCTACCCACGTGCAGATCCACCCACATACAAGTGCCTGGGGTTGTAACGTCATTGTGCCAACTCCATCATAGACACCTGGAACAAACACAAGTGTATATGATAGGGATGGTGTCATGATGTACTTTTGCAGACCAGTCACATATATGTAGAGAGTAGCAACTGTGTTGACAACATCAGTATTGGAGATAAACCAATGCTTTATGAATTATAATTACTGGGTAAGAGTAAAATCATGTACTGTAAATCATCAACTACAGAAAAAAAAATCTGTACCATGGGAACTTCCTGTGGATGCTGATCAGATGTGGTTGACGTGAATACTGCCCCCTTGTGATAGTAACTGGTATGTAAAAACACACAATGGTAAATCATAGGAAACTCCAGTGTACTGCATTGACTGAACTATGCCATGCATCATCTTTTGGATTAGTAAAGCTGTTGTTATATATTGTTTTCATTAGAAAACCATCCCATGACAATGGTTGTGTAGAAAGGAACGTTAAGAAAAGAAAGTATAATGAGGATTTTTTACAGTATGGTTTTACTTTAGTAATTACAGCAGGAATTGAGAAATTGCACTGTGTTATTTGTTGTGAACTTCTGTCAGCCGGAGCCGAGCAAACTAAAATGCCATTTTGATAACAGCATTCGAGCTTTGCTGCAAAGATATACAAACTGTTTTAGGAGCAAAGCTGATGGACTTGATACTGGTGGCAAGTACCACAAACAGAACATAGCAGCCGCTGAAGCCTCACGTTTGGAGGCACCCGGAATTGCCAGGACCATGAAATGAAACCTGACACTGTTGCTGAGGAGTTACTGTTGCCAGTGGCCGAAGACATTGTTGAAGTTGAGACGAACTTGTTACACAGTTGAGTGCAGTTTCCCTCTCTAAGGACACTGCAGGAGAATGGATGGCAGTGCTGACGGTCTTGATCAGGTAACAGGTACTGTGTACATGAGGTGTAGTGATGGTGGTGGCGGCCTTAAAGGTGAGCTGCTTTTTATGCAAACCTCTTGAATCCACAACACTGCACGTGATGTATTTCCTGAAAGAGCGGAAGCTCTCTTGGGAAAGGTTGTGGTGTTGGCACAGATGGTGCTCCAGCTGTGCTGGGGTGTCATCTGGATTCAGCGTTTGGTACTGAACATCGAAAAAGCCATCTGAACACCAGAGTCATCCGAACTCACTGTATGATTCATCGGCAAATATCAGCAGTGAAGACAGTGCCGCAGGAGTTACAGGAAGTCTGAAAGGCATGAATTCGTCGGTTTGTAAAGGTGAGCACTTTAAACGATTGACTGTTTGCTCAGCTGTGCTACAAGGTGGATCCGTGAACAAAGCTCTGCTCTTTCACGCTGAAGAGAGATGGTGGGCAAGAGGAAATGTTTTTAAAATGCGCTTTTGAGCTTCATGATGAACTCAAAATGTTTTTAATCAGAAAGCAAGACTGCAGTTCAAAGCACTTTCCAGCGATGAAAACAAATTGCAGAAAATAACTTATTTGGTTGACATCTTTGCCATCTTGAATGAGTTAAAGTTGTACTGCAAGGACCAAATGCAACATGCCTCGATTTGTCTGAAAACATCAGATCATTCCAAATGAAACTTTAGCTTTGGCAAAAACAGAAACGAACTAGATGATAATAGAATTCATATGTTGCCTACCTTATTGGGGCTTTCTTTGAGGAACGTGACATTGAACCAGGTGATAATTTCTGTGAAAGAACACTTGCACAGGGCATTGATGGCGCATGCCTTTAATCCCAGCACTCGGGAGGCAGAGGCAGGAGAATCTCTGTGAGTTCAAGGCCAGCCTGGTCTACAGAGCAAGTTTTAGGACAGGTTCCAAAGCTACACAGAAAAACAAACAAACAAAAAAACCAAAACCAACAACAACAAAACACACTTGCACCTACTTGCGGATGACAATTCATTGTATTTTCCAAATCTCCCTGACACCCATTTGCACGTGCCAGAAGCCCATTCACAGTTGACGTTGAAGATGTTCCCGAGGTGGCTTCAGAGTTCACTGAACTTGTTAACATCTGTGCAGCAGGAACTGACTTCTCTACAATGTCAGTTACACAATTCTGGATCAAGTGTTGGTTCATAGCCTTTCTGTTTGAGACTGTTACCCTTCTTCCATTTCCGACAACATATCTTTGTGAAACAGGGTGTTCCAGCTTGCTGGTTATCAGTCCTAAACACAGAAGTAGACTTGTTGTGGAAGATGTCTTTGTGTGCTCTTGCAGAGACTGCCCCGAGAATATGTGATCTGGAGAGAAAGACGCAATCTCAACCTTCCACTGACGTTGGCTGTTTACACATACCGTCACAAAACGTGGCATATAGTTTACTATTGTTATACTACAACTGTTACCCATGCTACAGCATGCTTCAAGACAGAATTTCACAACATATAATTACATATTGTTTTTGTGATTAATCACTATGCTTTAGTTATGTTCAATTTGTAATAATGAAAGCACATCCTGCATACCAGAAATTTATGATTTATAACAGTAGCAAAATTGTAGCTATGAAGTAGCAACTAAACAATTTTATGTTTGGGGGCCACCACACCATGAGGACCTGTGTTAAAGGTCACAGTGTTAGGAAGGTTGAGAACCACTGCGATAAAGGAACCTTCCCTGGAGCCCAGCAAGAGAGAGTGGGTGATGAGACAAATGGGGAGATTCCAGACGTAAGTGGTTTTATGGCCAGGGCCCTTATTTGTTTCTTTTTTTCCTTCTCCTTTTAAAGAGAAGGAACGTGAACTTTGTATTCGAGAGAGGCTAGCGGAGGACAAACTGGCCAGAGCCGAGAGTCTGGTGAAGAACTACAGCTTGCTGAAGGAGCAGAGGTTCCTGTGTCTGGCTAGTGGCCCAGGTATGTCTGTCTGTACGTCAGCTCTGCATACACTGTCCCCACGTGGACATGTACAACCAGTGTGACCGTCAGGCGTTTGTAGTGCTTTAATTTACAGGCTCAGATGTCAGGTGACTTCACTGAGCATGTGTACTGGAGTGGGAATGAGATTCTGTTGGTGTTGTGACTGATTTCCTGGGTGAGAGACCTGAGACAGCTTCACCCACCTTATCAAACGACATGGTTCATACTTAAATATTTAATTTTTGAAATGTAAACATTTTCAAAACTATACATTTCAAGTTTTTCTCTGGATATTATTTTCTTTGGTTATGTTATCAAAACTATATTTCTCTTCATTTTCAAGTAAAACCTTGGTATTTTGAAACTGGCACACTTCAGTCACCATAGAAGGTATGGATTAACAGGCATGGTGGTAAAAATCTGTAATTCTATCATGTGGAAGACAGGGGAATTGCTAGGAGTTTGAGAGCAACCTGTTCTCCATAGTGAGTTCACCCAGTCTTAACAAAAAGGGGGAGGGGACTAGAGAGATGGCCTGGGTTAGTGCTTCCTGTCTCAGTCACTGTTCTACCGCTGTGAAGAGACGCCATGCCCAAGACAACTCAGAAGAAGCATCCATTGTGGCTGGCTTGCAGCTCCCGAGGCCGAGTCCATTATCATCCTAGCGGGGAGCATGGCAGCAGACAGCAGACGTGCCGCTGCTGAGAGGAGGCTGAGAGCCGCACCTTCATCCTGTGGGCCTAAGTCCCACCCCCAGTGATAGATGGAGTTCCTCCAACACACCTCCCAATCCTTCCCAAGTATCCCCACCCGCTAAGACTAAGAATCAAATATACGAGCCTATGGAGTCGATTCTTATTCAGCTTACACTGTTCTTCCTGAGGACTTGAGTTTGGTCCCAGCACCCATAACCAGCCCCCTGCCTGGAACTCTGGCTCCAGGGGAACCCAAGTCCTTTTCTGGCCTCCTCAGGCCCTTGTACTCACATGCACATAACCCCTCCCTCAATCCCCACACACATGAACACACACACACACACAATTTACAAAATAAAAATAAACAACAAAAAAGAAAATACAACTTGGGTTTCCAAGATGGCTGAGTGGGTGACCTGAATTTACTCTCTAGGACCATGTGGTGGAAGAACCTTGCCTCCCAAAGTTTACCCTCTGACATTACACACCTTCACTCCCAGCTTTCAGGGGGCAGAGGCAAGCAGATAACTGAGTTTGAGGCCAGCCTAGTCTACATAGCAAGTTCTAGGCTAGCCACAAAATAAGGAGAAAAACTGGTGTGCTTCACATTCACACTCATATCATCACCAAAAAAGACCCTTTGGAGACTGCTCTTCAGCTAAGGGTGTGCTGACATCTGCCCTGGTGTCTTTGAGCAAAGGTAGTAGCTGGGTGAGGTGCTGGGTTTCATTTTATGGGGTGCATAGATGGGTGTGTACAACATCCTTGAATCATGGTGTTTAAAGAAAGCCACAGAGGCCACTGCAGCTCAGACTTGAGTCTTGAGTGTTACACACCTGAGTGTGTCAGAGCCACAACAAGCCACAGAGCGGGTGTGAGTAGATGCCAGCTCAGGCCCAGGACATTGGCAAGATGCGATGTCCTTTTGCACAGTGGGACTGTAAAGTCCCGCCAAGTGCAGCCCGGTGGGCAGCTGCTTCTTGAAAGCCGTCTGTCTGCTCAGCGAAGCCTGCCTGCTATTGGATGCACTGCCTGCTATTGGATGCACTCCTCTTTCTCTAAACCCTTTCTCGGTCCATCCGTTAGAGACGCCATGGTGTGACAATGCAGTGTTGGTCGTGGCGGGAGACAGCTGCCTCTTCCGCACTGGTGCTAAGGTCTGCTGGCAACAGCTTGTGCTTTGAAGTAAAAAGTGACGGCAGAACTCAGGGCACTTACGGGAGCCAGCCTCCTGCCTCTCCCTCCAGCGGTCTCCCTCCACCTTCCTTGGGACCTAGCTCACACTTGATCTCCCCATGAGCACCACACAACTGGCTCTCTGCACCTCTGTGCCGTCTCCCTGCACACGTCACTTAGCTCCTGCTTGCTTATGGCCTGTCGTCCCCTACCAGAAAAGGGCCTTTGTTTGCTCACAGTGGCCATAGTGTAAACTCGGTAAATATTTAAGCATATTTCCTTGAAATGCACACAAAGGGAAATTGAGCCCCCACCAGCACCATCTGTAGTTAGGGGTTATCAGTGCATGTAAGACATGCATCACTCATTCACTGCAGCTCAGCTGTCTCTGCAGTTGCTTAGACACACATTTTGGTGGGTGAACTGTTTGATCGTTGTAAGTGTGCTCTGTAAGAAAGCTGTGCTAGTGAGGTTACCTGTCATAAGTTCTCAGGAACAGAGTAAATACTGATTTCCCACAACCCCAGTGCATTGATCTTTAAAAGAAAAGTTGACTATTAAGAAATCAAAGCATTTGTCCTTGATTATTTGGTGTATTTCAGGGCATGGTGTCAACTCATGCCTGTGTAGCTATAAAGGAGGCTGAGGCAGGAACATCATAAGGTTAAGGACAGCCTGAGCTACATAGCAAGATCATAGCTAAAACAAAACAAAACAAAACAAAAAAACGGGCTGGAGAGATGCTTCAGTGGTTAAGAGCACATGCGGATCCTGTAGAGGACCTGAGTTCAGTTCCCAGCACCCACCTAAGGTGTCTCACAACCACCTATAACTCCAGCTGCAGGAGATCCAGGGCCCTCTTCTGGATCTGGATCTTCTGCACCTGTATTCACGTGCATTTATCCATGCACGCATTGGTCTCTGCCATCCTATGCTCCTGACTGCTTGTCCAGAGAATAATACACAGGTGTCAGCTGTAGGTCAGTAACCTTTGACCTGTATGACAGAGTTGGTCTCAGGTAACACAGACCCCTCTCTTTTTCTTTCTAAAGAACTTGATCTTCCATCATCAATAATGAGGAAGAAGGTTCATTTCCGTGGGGAAAGCAAAGAGAATGCCACAAGGAGTGAGAATTCCGAGAGCCAGCTTGCCAAGTCCAAGTGCAAGGACCTGAAGAAGAGGCTTCATGCTGCCCAGCTGCCGCCTCAAGCCCTGTCGGATATTGAAAAAAACTACCAACTAAAGAGCAGGCAGATCCTGGGCATGCGCTAGGCCAGCAAGACATGGAGCTCGGTCAGTATTCAGTACCGCCAACCCACTAGAGATTGGTACTCAACTGCTGTAGTTTTATGTGTCTGGTTCTGAGCTTCACCTTTGTGTGCAGTGAGCATGATGCTGGGATTGTTTGTGCTCTTTTTCAGCAACAGGTCTACAAGATGGACATGTCTCCCTTTTCCTCCTAATATCCCTGTATAGAAAGCATGGTGCCTTTGCTGGTTAGTTGGGCTTTTGATCCTGTGTGGGATTACTACTGGGAATATGAGATGGGACACCATAGATTTTAAGAGAAAATAATGTTAGGGAAAGAATATTTAACGTGGAGGACTCACTGGAAAGTTTGTGACTGAGTGGTGTGCCTGCATCTGTCATGTTTAGTTTTACACTGTAAATCTGCACAGCAGAAACTGTGCGCCCAGCATCTGCTGTCCACACCATGGGTGATGTACGTGGTCCTCAGCCACTCAGCGGTGGTTGTGTGTTGGTGTCTCCTGCCTTCACTGCAGTTTCCAGATGAGGCTGCAGCTGAGGTGCGACCTCACTGTTCACAGGGGATCTGACAGGGCGGGAGTCTTCGCTCTCCCACAGGATCGCATTACAGAGGTCAGGGAGAGCTTTTTAGTGTGTGATATTACAGGGAGAGACCCAGCCACTGACCTGGAAGCCCAGCATTCCAGTTCCACGCTGTTTATTGTGCTAGTTAAAATACCAGTGACAGACTCCGGGAGAGAAATGAAAGGGTAGAAGCTTCTACCTAAGAACATGGATTTACCTTCAGCGAAACTTCTGCTGGAACAGTTCCCAGTGAGTGCAGAAGAGCCATTTAGATTCCTGAGAAACCCAAGGAGGAGGCTGACACTGATGAGGCCCTCAACACGCTTGTGCTATGTGGCACAGGAGGGCACCTGGGGACAGGAGGCTGCTGGCCAGCCCAGGAGAGCTGTTCACTGTCATTCTCCACCTGAAATGCCTCTGTGTCCAAGAGACTCACTCTCCCAGTTCTTGTATGGCCTTGAATAGATGGTTATTTCACTGGAGGACTCCAGATTGTGCCCTATCTGTATTAAGTGCCCCTAAGTATGAACTGAACGGTCTAAAATGCTACAGGGTCTTCATATTTTAAATCACATGTATTGTTCCCTAATGTTAGAGAACTGTCTTTAGAAAGGTGGTCTGTTTAAGGCCACTGGGAAGAAAGCAGGCCACCTTTGACCTCTGTCCACAGCCCCTTGAGACAGCTTCAGAAAAGAACTGTGTGGTGTGTGTTATTGAGGGTGATACTGCCTTCACCTGTGTTAGGGCCAGACATTTGCTGATTATTTTTCAAAGACCTCATCAGAAAGAGGTTCATTTGCCTTACTTAATAAGTGCTGTTGGCTGAGAGGGGAGGTCAGAAGCATTTTAATGCCACTTGTCTCATGGTTAAACATTCAGACTTCTTGCATTTTAAAATTCTGTGTCCTTTACTGTCTGGGTCTGTAATAACTTGCTTGGGTGTGTAACTTGCCAGGGTTGACTTTTTTAATGCTTTGTGTAAATTCTCTACTGTTTGGCACTTGTAGCTGCAGAAGGCAGTGCCAGGGATCTCTTGCAGCTATGTCTTTGGTGGCAGCTTGGAATGTAAAATATGGTGAGCATCTTATCTGTCTGTTTCTCTGACAATCTACCAGATGGGAAATCCTGTTGAAAACTAGAAACCCGGTGGTTTTTCCTTTTTCTTTTTCTCCTTTGGTCTATAATGATACTGGTATAGCAGTACAGAGTAAAATCCTGTATATATACAAATCTTAAGTATGAGGTTTTAAATGTCCCTAACTTTAGAAAACTTAATTGGATACAATTGTTTATGAATAACCAGTCATCTTATTTATAAAATTTCCAATACAATAAAAATCTATTTTGTGGAAATTCATCATTGTGATGTTTGGGGTGTGTGTGTGTGTACACGCGCGCATGCGTGCAGATGCATTTGGAGCCTAGAGGGCAACCTCAGGTGTCATTGTTCAGGAATTGTCACCTTGATTTTTGATATGGCATCTCCCTGGCCTGTGCCTCACCAATTTTGTCAGGCTTGCTATCGCCCACATTCCAGAGTTCTTCCTCTTGCCTCTGCCTCCTTAGTGTAGAGATCACAAGCACATTTACTGCCTCTGACTTTCTATGTGGTGTGGGGCCTGAACTTAGTTCCTCATGCTTGCGTAGTAGCATGGCTTTCTGACTGAGCCGTCTCCTTAGCTCATGATATCTGTGTTTTATTTTATTCTCCTGTCTGTCATTTATCTCCCGTTTTCCCACAGTGTAAATCTTTCAGTTTCCTACAGTTATGTCTTTTATGTTTATTGGTCTCTGAATTGGATTGAAGAAAAGTGGGTGATGCCCAGGGAGCTACATCCCACTGGTAAGCTGTAGTGGACTGCACCCTCTCATTGATCACGGAGGCCAGCAGTGCTGACCTGAGCAAGTCTGCTCTACAGGGAACACTGGGTGATGTTTAGACACATTCTTGAAAGTCGTACCTGAGGAGAGGGTGCTGCAAGTGTCCCATAGGTAGAGTCCAGTGATGCTGCTGACTGAGCAGGCGCACTCTCAGGAAGCCTGGCTTGTGCTGGGATGGGCTGGATGGATGTACTGCCACCCTTAGAGAACTTAATTTGGGTTTTGATGGGTTTGGTGTGTGTGTGTGTGTGTGTGTGTGTGTGTGTGTGTGTAGGTGTAGACATGTGCCTGTGTGTAGGCACGAAGTTGATGTTGGGTGTCTTTCTCGATCTCCACTTTATTCAGGCAGAGTCCTCCCTGAACCCAGAGCTCAGGAGTTAGCTAGCCTATGAGTTAGCATGCCACCTGATCCCACCTGTCTCCCAAGTGCTGCGATCATGAGCAGCTCCCATACCTGCCCGGCTTCTATAAATCTGGCCCCCAAGCTTGTGCAGGAAGCACCTTGTCCAGGAGCCATGTCCTAGTCCAGAATTGTTTCTTTCTTTGAGCATGAAGCAGTGAACTTTGCTCCACTCATCATATTTTTATGTAACATTTTCCTGGTGTTGCTAACTGTGTGAGTTTAATATAGACCAAGTCACAGGAGGTTCAGAAGTCAAGGAACTCCTCAGGTGTTCAGACCCAGCACATGGATGGTAATGCAGCTCTCACGCGGCAAATGACCCCAGAGGGCCCTTGTGCTCCAGGGTTGAGTCTAGCCCCTGGCGGCAGTGTCCTGCGCGGCGGGACTCTCCTTCAAGAAGGGAAGGCAAGTGCGTTTCTCCCTGATTAATGTGTCACTTGCCAGTGAATGTTCTAAGAAACACTGGAAAATTATTGACATGAGTTTTATGGTTTGTCTTCATTTGTGCAAGGCCCGTTTTAAGTGGAAATGCCAGAGCCTCTATTTTCTGTGTGTGGACGCCACAGCTCACACCTGTGGTTCATCCCTGGAGAGGCTCAAGGCGTCACTCAACCTTCACCGGGTGCTGAGCACCTGTGGCCTGTTCCTTCCCTGCTCTCCCCTCACCAGCTCTTGCCGCACAATGCCAGGTCTCCAGTCTAGCCAGGCACCCTGCTTTCATATAGGCCTGCTGCCCAAACCAAGGCCGATACGCCTCTCCCAGGATGCCCCTTGCCAAGACACCCTCCATCCAGCAGGTCTCACCAGGCATGGGGCAGAGGGCAGAGCAAGTGAAACAGACTGTGACTCACCCTCTTCTGAGATGCCTGATACTGGCCCCTGCCGAGAGGGAATGGGCAAGGGGGGCTTGGGAAGCTCTGAGCATCCTGGGAAGAAGCAGGAAGTAGAGCCGTGGGTGAGTGAGGCTGCAGGCTCTCTCTCCCCATCCCCACATGTTCCTGTGTCCAGTTTTCTAACAGAACACAAATTCAAAGAACTATTAAGACGTTAGAAACTATAACCATAGGCGCAAGACCTTCCACGCTCCTCAGTCACCCATAAAACCAGCTCTTAAATGTCTTTTGGGGCCTTGAAAGATGGCTCAGTGGTTAATAGCACTGGCTGCTCTTGTAAAGGACCCAGGTTCAATTCCCAGTACCCACATGGCAGCTCACAACTGTGTGTAACTCCAGCTCCAGGGAATCCAACACCTTCACACAGACATATATCTAGGAAAAACACCAGTGCACATAAAATAAAATCCTAAAAAGAAGATATAGCCTTTCTACTTCATTTTAAAGTCTGGAGCCAGCTAGACGTGGCTGTCTCAGACTCCACCTTCTCTCATTAGTTCAGTCAATGGACAAATGACCTACCTACCATGAGTACCTACCATGAGCTGGTGCCTTTGGAAACGCTATCATTAACCGTGGAGAGAGCCCTTGATCTTGCTAGTGGAAGCAGGCGACAGGAAGCGTCAGCCATAAGTGCTAGGGAGCAGAATGAAGCTAGAAAAGAGCAGGAGGGTGTGTGCGCGCAGTTTTAGAAGAAGAGGCCATTAGGGGTTCAGCAGGAGGCAGGAGTGGGGGGATCCATTGGGGGCAGGGGCTGAGGGCAGGGCAGGGGGAGGGAGGCTTGCAGGGCAAGAAGAGAGCCACAGGACATGAAGGCTTGGAAACACACAGCCAACTTTTGCGAAATACCGCTGGAAAGCTGACACGAGCTGCTTTCCCGTCCGTCGGGAAAGCAGGTATTTGGACGGTATGTTGGACCAGAGAGGAAGCTCTTTGTCGGGGCTCCAGCACCTCTGTCTGTGACCTTAGGGTTTGAACAGGTTCACCCAGGCGCCACAGCGGCCTCAGGGCAATGGCAGGAAGAGGCCGCACGGTGGCGCCAGCGCGCCGCGAGCCGGGCGCGCGGAGGCGGCGTCTCGGGTGTCAAGAGGGCAGCGTTTTCTATAGAGCAACTGAGGCAGCTGGTTTGGGAAATGACGGGCGGATGACAGCGGCCCTGCTCGCTCGCCTCCCAGGGCACGCGCAGGTGCACTTCGGTTTCCCACAGCTAAAACAGCTCTCGCTTCAGAAGGGACGAGAGAACCAGAGATGTTTATTCTGGACCGTGGCCCTGGAATACAGATTCAGGTTACCCCCAAATACCATGTTCCAGCGTGGTTAACAGTTTCACGGAGTTTCCATAGTAACAGAACAAGGAAAGTCATAAAGGAACGCTCCTTTCTAATAGGTGGGAACACCATCTGGGCGGGTATGGCAAGGGAACTTCAGATGCGGTCTGCTGGGGGTCTCAGGGTTCGGGTTGGAAGGAGCTAGAGATCTGTTTGCACCAATAGGTCCCACACACAGAAGTGGGCAACATGTGGTTATGTACTGGCTAAAGTGGCCCAAGATCATTTGGCTCGGGACCTGCAACACTCCAACTCTGCACAATCCCTGAACTGTGACTTCTTTCTAGAGCCTAACGTAGGTTAAGGTGAGCGCATGGCCCTGAGCGATGGCCCACACCTGTAGTTCCGGCACTATGGAACCCTAGGCAGGATAAGAAGGGTTTAAGGCAGCCGGGCCCACACTTTAATCCCAGCACTCGGGAGGCAGAGCCAGGCGGATCTCTGTGAGTTCAAGGCCATCCTGAGCTACAGAGTAAGTTCCAGGAAAGGTGCAAAGCTACACAGAGAAACCCTGTCTCGAAAAACCAAAACCAAAACCAAACAAACAAAGGGTTTAAGGCTATCTGCAGCTACATAGCAAGTTTGAAGACAGCCTGGGTTATGTAAGACCCTATCTCAAAAAAAAACTTTAAAAATAAGCAACAACAACCCCCCAACCCAAGACAACTGTGGTTAAGGAAGGCGGGTCAGAGCGGTATGAAGGGGCCTGACCACCTTTAGACCTGCTGCTAAAAGAGGTGGTTGGTTAGCTTGGCTGGGACAGAGACTAGGGGCAGGCTCTAAAGCAAGACCCTGGAGAGTGGGTCTGGAAAGTGTTTCCTCTCCTCCCACTCCCTCAAAAGCCCAGGCCAGACACCTAAGACACTCAGGCTGCGCAGTATCCTCCCCAGGGCCGCCTCACTCTGGCCTTCTCCCGAAGTTTGCCACACTTGAGACAGTTCTCATGGGACCAGAGGCAAGGCTCCCACTTGGAATGGGAGCCAACATGGTAGCGGCTTTAAAAAGAATGAAGAGAATGTATGATGTACCAGGAATGCTCAGCATGGATTGGAAAGCGAGGACTTGCATTGATGTGTGGATTTCCCAGAAAGAAAGATGTGGAAAGCAGCCCTCACCCAGGGAGGCACCTGCCCGCTGACCGACGAGATCAGGCCTTTCTTCACCCTTCCCCACCCACACCTTCTCTTTCCCTTACCCTTATGGTCAGGGTTCCACCACCCCACCGAAAAAAGCTGGCAGAGCCACGGGCATCTATGGAAAATCTGACCCTCCTCTCCGGTCCCTCCTGCCTAAAGATGACGTCCAGACAATTCCAGGCTGACTCCGCAGGTGGAGAGCCAGTCAGCAGCTACCCTGCACTGGATCATTTGATAACTTCTCGGAACTTCAGTTCCTCCCGGTAAAACAGAACACTAACTGGAAAGGCTAAGAGGGTGAACTGTGGTCAGGGCCTTGGACCAGTCCCTGACAAAAACGCATTTTACTTGGCCTCCCTTAGGGAAGGATCCAGAAGGCTTGGGTTATAATAAAATGCAAATATTTAAATTAAGGTGGGCGAAAGAGGCGTAGGTGAAACCAGGAATGAGTCCAACATGATAATTGCAATAATTACTCCGGGAGTCAACCCCTCAAGGGAGCAGACCACTCGCTGAGGTGAGGCAGAAGAGAAGGCTGGGGTGTGGCGGAAGCCGGGCTTCTCTGAGCCTGGAAGGGATCACCTGGACATCTTGTTAAAATGCAAACTCCACTCAGCAGGTCCAGAGTGGGCCAGATAACCTGTTCTAACCAGCTCTAGGGTGGACTGCTCCCTGGCTGGAATATCCTGACTGTGAGGAAAAAGCTAAGAGTCCCTCAGACGCAGGGAGCCCTGTAAAGCAGATGGGTTGAGCTGGGGGTGAAGTGCCCTTGTGAATGCTGCTGTCCCTGCCTGAGGCTGAAGTCCAGGAGTTAGGAACAAGCCGAATAAACTGGGAGGAGGCAGCTTTGGAAGGCCTTTCATGCCACGATCCCCCTTAGCACTCTAGCATGTAGGAGTGGGGAGAGAGCTTTGACACCCTCAAAACCCTTGGCATCATGTACAGAAGGAGCTAGAGGAGGCCGGCCCTGCTCTCTGCCTGGCACTGCCCTGCTCTCTGCCTGGCAGGGGTTTCTAGGGCAGCCTAGAAACTGTACTCAGCCAGGGGTCCGAATGAGCCCAGTTATGTTTCCAGGATCAGAGGACATGGCCAATGTTCCAGTAGGTGTTCCCAGTGTGTCCAGGGATAGTCTGGTCGAGCCCAGCTCGTGGGCAGAACAGGCCCAGAGCATGAAGCTGTACCAGAACCAGCCAGGGGCCATGGTCTCCCTATGGCAACTTTCCTAAAGAGACCTATTAGGGGGACCTGGAAGGGGAAAAATGGCTCATTAAAGCTGAACTTTGCCACTCACTGTTATCTTAAACGGGTTAATTAACCAGCATCGACTGTTTCCCTTACAAACAGGTAGAACCAGAGGCCGCCATTGCTCATCGGGTGGGGATGTATACATTTCAGCAGGGAACAAGCCAGTCTACACAGGCTGTCCACTGCATGGAGTTCAGGCCTACACTGCTGCTTGATGGACCCACAAAGACGCAAGAACAGGGGTCTGGACCCAACTTGGGGAGCACTGGGGGTTCCCTTAGAAACATCCTGGAAAGGGGCAAACAACAGTATCCAGGAGGGGCAGGAACATTCGGACAGGCAGAGGGAAGGGGACTATCAGATAGGGTAGGGGAGGCTGGAGATGCCGCTCAGTGGTGGGGTGCTTGACTAGCACATTGGAATCCCTGGGTTTGATCCTTAATCACGCACGCACGCATGCATGCACGCGGGAGTGGGGGAGAAGAGGGCAGGGGAGGAGAGGGAGGGGGAGAGAATGTGTTGTAGAATATTATTTGAAGGTGTGTTACTTTTGTTTATGTTGCATTTGTTTAACTCTGAAGCTGTGTTACTGTGCCTGTCTAAAACACCTGATGGTCTAATAAAGAGCTGAATGGTCACTAGCAAGTCAGGAGAAAGGACATGCGGGGCTGGCAGGCAGAGAGAAGATATAGAAGGAAAGATCTAGGAGCAGGAGGAGGAGGAGGAGAGCAGGGGCCAGCCACCCAGCTACATAAGCAGCAATGGAGTAAGAAAAAAGGTATAGCCAGGTGGTGGTGGCGCACGCCTTTGATCCCAGCCCTCGGGAGGCAGAGCCAGGCGGATCTCTGTGAGTTCGAGGCCAGCCTGGTCTACAAAGCGAGTACCAGAAAATGGGCATTTTTCTGGTAGTCTACTGGCCTGGGTCAGGAGAAACAATTGCTTTCTAATCAGTGCAAAGGGCAGAAAAGGCGTAAAGCTACACAGAGAAACCCTGTCTCGGAAAAAAGAAAGAAAGAAAGAAAGAAAGAAAGAAAGAAAGAAAGAAAGAAAGAAAGAAAGAAAGAAAGAAAGAAAGAGAAAAAGAGGCATACAAAAATAGAGAAAGGTAAAAGCCCAGAGGCAAAAAACAGACGGGTTAAAGTTAAGAGAAGCTGGGAGGAACAAACAAGCCAAGCTAAGGCCGGGCATTCATAATTAAGAATAAGCCTCCACGTGTGGTTTATTTGGGAGCGGCCCTCAAAAAAGAGCAAAACCAGTAACGAGGGAGTAAGTTCAGGAATATGTCCCCAGTGAACTAACCTCCACTTCTTCTGTTTGTTTCGGGACAGGGTTTCTCTGTGTAGCCCTGGCTGTTCTGGAACTTGCTCTGTAGATCAGGCTGGCCTAGAACTCTAGAGATCTGCCTGCCTCTGTCTCCCAGGTGCTGGGATTAAAGTCATACACCACCACCACCTAACTAACTTCCACTTCTTGAAGGTTCAACCACCCTTCAATAATACCATAAGCTGGGGCCAAGCCTTGAGCACATGAGCCTTAAGGGAACAGCTCAGATACAAACTAAACAATGGCTTTGACAGTGTTCAAAGCACGTGTGTTAATCTCTCAATGGCTGTTCTGCTCTCACCTCTGGGGAAACTGACATTGGAACATGTCGGTGTGTGGGCTACAAAGCACCCTGGGGAAAGGTAGTCACCCTGTGTACTGGGAGGGAATGCGGTCCTCTTCTTTTGCCCTCTAATCCCAGCCCCTCCCCAACACGAATGTGTGAATGACACACACACATGCATGCTGACATGTCTGCCCTTGAAACACTGCGTGAGGACAGGCAGTATCAGGTGCTGGAAACGGCACAACTTGGAAGGCTCTGGAGTCTCTTGTAAAGGGTGTAGCTTAGCTATGACGACCTTCGGGTGTCCTGCTGCAGATCTGCTGCTGCGGCATGTAGGTCTGCCTTACCGTGTAGCAGAGCCTTAGGGGTGATGGAGGGCCACGGATGTCACACAGAGCCAGAGATCCCTGCAGCTGACAGCCAGTCACGCTGAGGCTCCTGCCTGTTCTCCTCCAACACTTAGGGCAGTATTAATTATTAATTTTTATGACTCCACAGGAGCTGGTATCCGTAAACCACAAGCCCCGACACTTCTTCTCCAACCTCCAACCACTTAATCGTGGTTTTGGCTGGGTCAGCGTATGAACCCCATAACCTCAGAAATGGAGTAGGTGAAGGCCTTTATCTGTTGTTCCTGGGGGCGAAGGCCAAGTTCACTGGGTGCAGCTGGCGGCACGGGAGCTGATAACGCTCTCGAAGAAACCCAGATGTCTTCGCCGCCTTTCGGAGTGGGGCCTCATCCGCTCCCCTCTGGTGTCAATCTTCTCTTCCCTCTGTTGTTTAGCTGTAGTGTGCAGAGCCTTCTCACAAACACAGGTCTCAGTAGCTCCCTAACCGTGCTGGAACTGGCCTAGACGGATACTGTTCTCATACAGAAAATAAAGATTTAGAGAGGGAGAGGATGGAGCCAAGAGCTCCAGCCCCGTCCTTCAGCACCACTGCAGACATCCCGGCTTGGCCCACAGTATTAAAGCAGGGCGGCTGGTTACAGGCGTTGGTGTGTGAGGCCGCCCCTGACTTCTCTGGAAGGATCAGGGAATGGGCATTTTTCTGGTAGTCTACTGGCCTGGGTCAGGAGAAACAATTGCTTTCTAATCAGTGCAAAGGGCAGTCATGCTTACTGCTGGTGCCGTCTGCTGGCTTCTCAGGGTGGCCGGCAGGGTCACGGCCAAGGGCTTGGCCAGTCTGGAGACCTCGTTGCCCTTGACCACAGAAGACCCGAGGCAGCATCAAGCCAAGAGACCTGAAGCTGAACCCACACTGTCTTTGGGAAGCACAGGGACTCCCACTCTGGGGCCTGTAATACCACCACACCTGTGCACAGCTCTAAACTCAAGTTGAGTCTCACGGGAAACTAACCAGGGTGAACATGAGAAGCAGTTCATAGCACCCCACCGAGCTAACCAATCAGAAAGCGTGTTATAGAAAGACCCCACTTACAATGGCGGTGCTGAGGAAAGTAGGGGAATGTGGAGTACAAAATCCGCGTTCAGCCAACTGCAGAAGACACCATGGTGTTGTCCCTTAATGCCAGGAAGTCCCAGTTGTCTGAGTGTGTGCGTCTAGGTGCATCGTGTCTGTATGTCTGTGTGTCACGAGGGCTAGGAGAGTGTGGCTCAGTGGTAGAGTGCTTTCTCACCATGCATACAGCCTCGGGTTCAATCCCCAAAACTGAAACAATTAGTGACTACTGAGAGCCCAACATGAAGTGGAGTTCCATTCAGGACAGATAACAACTAAATTTATAGCTATAGGGAAACTCCAAAGGAGCTGCGGGAGAAACACAAACCCTACAAACCCTACAGTGCCTATCCAGAGTGGGAAACCTGGGCAGCGTGGACGTCCGTACACAGGCTCTGCCTGGGGCTGATCTGGAGAAGGCTTGCTGCAAATCGGCACACTGAAGTGACAGTGTCACCATTCCAAGGCCTGAAAAAGCCATGAGAGTCCAAAGTCTCGGGTGTCCCAAGTCCTGATGGCAGAGATTCCCTCAGGTGGAGTCTGTTTTCCCAGAAGCCTCCCAAACAAGCAGCAATAAGCAAATTAGCTGCAAGCCGTTGGCAGGTAGCCAGCTTGGGGCTAGAAGCCAGGCCTGGGTGGGATGGGTCCAGGAGCTCCTTCCCCCGGGCCTGTGAGGGCGGCTCTTCTCAGCAGATGCTACACCAAGTGGGAACACAGGGAGCAGGAAAACTTGGGGGTCAGTAAAGGCTGTTCAAGGATGAGCTGGGCTGAACCAGCTGAGCCTGGGTGCCAAGCCTGTGGCAGGTCGTCCCCTCCCCCTGCCCAGCACCTGGGCTGCTGAAGACACCCCGGGCACGCGTGGTATATCCTCGGCCATTTGTGCTGCCAAAGAACCCACACAAGACACCTCGGGGTGAGCATGTGGGGCAGAGCCTGACCTTTCTACACGCTGGCCCTGCTTTCACTGTGGGCTGTGGCCTCCACTTCGGTTTATGAGGGAGCGTGTGGGGACAGCCTCCCAGGCGGGAAGAGAAGTGGAGGAAGCCGAAGGGCGGCCAGTGAACTTTGAGCTGCAGACTCTGTCTCACATAGAGGTGCCTAACCTCTCTTCTTATTCCCCACGGTGGCGGGGTTTCCTCTACTCTGTCGTAGAGGACACAGGCTTGTAACCAACCAGTTGAGACCTGGTAGGGTGCTGGGCAGTGGTGTTGCAAGCCTTTATTTAATCCCAGCACTCTGGAAGCAGAGGCAGGTGGATCTCTGTGTGTTTGAGGCCAGCCTGGTCTACAGAATGAGTTCCAGGACAGCCAGGGCTGTTACGTAGAGAAACCCTGTTCAACAAAACAAAATAAGACCTGGTGGGGAGATTTGGAGCTGGAGGTAGCAGGAGTCACAGCCACACCTGTGAATCTCCTGAGTTAGGGAACTTGTCCCAGCCCTGTCATTACGGGACTGCTGCCATGCATCTGCCACTGAATCCCCAGGCCACTTCTTGGGCTCACTGGCCTCATCACCTCTGTCTTGCTTCTTTAAGCAAGTTCTCGGGGCTTCTCTGCACTCTGTGGAGTCAGTCTTCTTTGGCAACATGGCCATAGCCCTCTTCAAATAGGACATGGACGGGGTGGCATGTGACTTGCCCCTTCTGCCTCCAACACAGGCGCGTGGAGCCCATACCTCCCTTCCCCGGCTGGTTTTCCTTTGTGAAACGTGGCAGGAATCATGAAAACAAGCAACCACAAAGCTTTTAGATGGAACTCCCAGTGACCCCCAACTCCCTCAGAGATGGCAACTGGAAATCCAGGTGGATTTGGAAGTCTTATGTTTAAGAGCAGAACTTATGGGGCCAGGACTCAGTTGGTAGAGTGCTTGCTTAACATGCACAGAGCTCTGGGTCTGATCCCCAGAACAACGTAAATCAGGAGTCCATACATGACACCTGTCGGTAATTCTAGCACTCAGGAGGCTGAGGCAGGGGCATTGGAAGTGTGTAGGAGTGAAGTTTACTGAGGCCCCCTCTCCATCCTTCCCTTTGCCTGATGGTGTTCTCCAGGCACCTCCTATGGTGGGAAGGAGGGCAGGATTTTCAGGTGGGCTGTTTCTGTGATTTTTCTGAACCAGCTGCCCAAGCCTCTGTCACCAGGAAGACCCAGACTGGAGCGTTTTCTCTCTGACTTGCGGGAAATGGAAACTAGCATTGGAGGTTTTAGAATTCAACAAATTGTCACAGAAAAATGCCTTGCCATGGACTCGGTCACCAGGAGGTGGTGTGGGAAAGCCGCAAAGGTGTGGAGGTTGGGCTCCGACCTCTGCCCCATCAGGTGAAGCTCCGGTTGTCAGGGCCTGGAGGCCTCCTCTTCCTACCAAGCAATTCACTGCGTGCAACAGGTCTTTCAAAGGAGGGAGGCTCACCCGATTAGCTCCATTTCACAGAGCCCATGTCAGGGGGAGCATGCCCATGTCCTGACCCTCCGAAGCCCTAGAGATGAAAGCTGCCCCAGGAAGAGCCTGTAGGCCAGTCTTACTGGGATCTCCTGGTTTTGTTTCCTAAGCTGAATCAGTTTTGAATGTTCTGCCTTGGCTACTTCTCTATTACTGTGATAAGACACCATGACCAAGCAATTTGGGGAGGAAAGGGTTTATTTTTGCTTACAACCCTCAGGTCACACTCTATCACTGAAGGAGGTCAGGGCAGTGAAAACGGAAGCAGAAACCATGGAGGAAGGCTACATACTGGCTTGCCCCCCATAGCTTGCTCAGCCCGCTCGATTATACACCCTGGACCACCAGCCCAAGAGTGAGACCTGGTCACAGTGACTGGCCTTCCAATATCAGTCACCAATCAAGAAAACATCCCACAGGCTTCCCGACAGCCCAATCTCCTGGGGACATTTTCTCAACTGAGGTTCCCTCTTCCCAATGACTCTAGCTTTATGTCAACTTGAGGGGAGGGGAAGAAATAAATAAATAAATAAATAAATAAATAAATAAATAAATAAATAAATAAATAAATAAATAAATAAATAAAAATCAGCAGCAACAACAAAACAAAATGCAACCAGCATACACTGTTTTCTTCTCAGCAAGGACAGTATTGAGGGAATTCTCCCAGGTCCCAGTTTCAGAGCCCCCTCCGGGTCATGTGATCCAGCAGGGCAGCAGTTCAGCTGTAAGGAGAGGTAGGAAGGAATGTCTTCAGGGCTGCAGAGGTGGCTCGTCTGTTCACCTGCTCTTGTAGAGGACTCCAGAACCCCGGTTCAGTCCCTAGCACTGGGTGGCTCACGGGTGCCTGTATCTCCAGTTCCAGGGGAATCCAACACACTTTCCTGGCCTTTGAGGGCACCCATACATGTGTGGCACTCACTTACACAGACACAAACATACATATAAATTAAAAAATCACTTTTTAATTAAAAAAAAGTAAGTACACTTCACAGAGTCACTGAGTGAGATTAATAGAACTAAAAGAAAACCACAATTAACCTTTAGGTCCCTGACCCTTTGAGACTTGGCCATTCTCTGAACAATACAGCAATATTCACTGGGTGGAGAAGTGCCACGGAGCAGGTGTGACCAGGGTGGTGGCATGGCCAGACCTGACCCTGACGCAGTCAACTGGGAAGACACATTAACATGGACCTGCACATGGCAGGCGTTTGACACATCTGAGCAGGTCACAAAAGTTGGTGTGTGATGAGTTTATAACCGCAATATGCAAGGTGGCCAGGAGTCAGGGCCTGGGTCTGACCCAAGGTGGCCAGGAGTCAGGGCCTG